CCTTCCTTCCCCTTTGACTGTGCCAAGGACACCCAGGACTGTGTCAACAAAGGAGCATCAGAAACATGCAGTTGCTGGGCTGAGTGAGGGGCAGCCCTGCTCCCACGTGTGTAAATAGTGTGTCCTGTAAAAAGCTGCATTTTTTTATTTAAGTAGAACCCATTTACTCATTCCTTTTCCTATAAAACATGTAAATGATAATAAAACTCAGTGACTCTGACTCTGGTTGCCCTGTGTACCTCAGAAATAAAGAATGCTGTGTCTAACAGCTTGAAGGGGGGTTGTATATTATGAGCTCAGGGACCATCCTTAGTCTTTAGTCCCTTAGTCCCCAAGTGCCTTGATACCAAGTGAATAGATACAACACACACACACACACTAAGTTTCTCAGTTAAAAAATGGAGTATATTGGGCTAGAGATGTAACACAGTAGTAGAGAGCTTAGCTAGAATGTGTGAAACCCTGGGTTTGACCCCTGGAACCATTACAAAATAAAAATGGTTCTGAGAATGTAGTTCAGTGGTAGAATGCTCACCTAGCATGCACAAAGCCTAAATTCAATCCCTAGCATGGCATAAACTGAGTATGGTGGCACATGTCTGTAATCCCAGCACCCAGGAGGTAGAGGTAAGAGGATCAAAAGTTCAAGGTTCATACTAAGTTTGAGGCCAGCCGGGGCCTCAAATCCCATCTTAAAAAAGAAAAAAAGGGGTTGGAGAGTTGGCTCAATAGTTAAGAGCACTGGCTGCTCTTGCAGAGCACCTGGGTTCAATTCTCAGCACCCATTTGATGGCTAAGAGTCATCCATAACTCCAGTTCCAGGGTATCTGACACCCTCTTCTGACCTCCACGGGCATTGCACAGCATAGGTACACTTACACACATGCAGGGAATACACTCATACACATAAAATGAAAATAATAAATAAAACATTTAAACTGATAAAAACAGATACTACACTTGATTTTAGCCAAAAGACCAAGAAGCAATGAAAATAATTTTTTTTTCTCGGTCTTTTTGAGACAGGGTCTCCCTGTAGCCCCAGCTGTCCTGGAACTCACTATGTAGACCAGGCTTACCTTGACCTCACAGAGATCCACCTGCCTCTGCCTTCCGAATGCTGGGATTAAATGTGTGCGCCACCACGCCCGGCGAAAATAAATTTTTTTAATAAAGAAAGAAAGAGACTGGACTTGGTGGTGCACACCTTTAGTCCCAGCACTCGGGAGGCAGAGGCAAGCAGATCTCTGTGAGTTCAAGGCCAGCCTGTTCTACATAGTGAGTTCCAGGACAGCTGGGGCTACAGGGAGATCCTGTCTCAAAAAAAGACCAAAAGAAAAGTCAAGTCCTATTTTTGCCAGGAGATCTGAAGGTCCAAGAATTTATTATAGACATCAGCTTTGGTAATAGAAGATAAAATGAAATACTATGAACAAACAAAAGCACTAGATATAAAACATTTCATTAGATTCAGCAGAAATATCTCAATAAAACAAAAGAACACAGGAAAAAATAAAAGAATTACAAACACTCCACACTTGTGCTAGGGAGTGTATCTGACTGACTTTCACACAAGGAGCATCAGTCCCAGCTGGCCCAGGGCCACCAACTGACTCTAATCTGGGAATCTCTGAGACTTGCCCTTGAGTCCTTGGAATTTGCTTCCTGGTTCAGGCTGAAATCCACCGCTCTTTTCAATTCCAGTCCTTGGCTACTTCAAACTGGTAAAGTCATGGAGTTTGGAGAGAATTGCCCAACATTATTCAGGCAAGAAAGCTATAGCTAAGAACTTTTCTTCCAGGTGAAGTACTTTTGATCTGCCCATGCAGGGCCAATGGAGTTACCATGTCGTTCCAAGCTGAGGTGTCATGTGGAAGAAGCCAGGCCCTGTGTGAAGTGTAACCAGCAGGTAGCCCATCTCCTGGCTCTATGCAAATGGGAGTATGCTTGGTGTTTAAATGAAGAGGAAGAAGAGTCTTATGGCTCAGCACTCAGCACCTTTCCTGTCTATAGCTGTATCTTGTGTGTAGACTCATGTTAGAAGAGAACTTGTACCAAACAAGTGGGTATTAGTGTCAGGCAGTACTGGTTCATAGCCCACTGAACCACTGATAAGTTGTGTGGCCTGGGTGAGTTACCAAACCTCTCTGAGCCTCCTTTCTCATTTGTACAATGTCACTGGATGCTAGGCCCTGCCTGTCTCAGTAAATAACCCTGACTGGAAGGGTCCTCAGGGGTATAGAAATTTTGTTATTCACTTGAGAGATGGGAAATTGGAGATCAGGAAGATCTCAGAGCTATGCCAAGGGAATTGACTGCCAACTCAGTATGATTCCCACTGCTGCTTTTGTGCCAGGTTTGATAAAAATATCCTCTTCAGTGTGCACAGTGGCATAGGTAGGAGGTGAGGGCATGATGCTGTAATTAGTCTCTTGGGCTACATGTTGATACCCTCGTCTCCAATCAAAAACAAAAACAAAACAGTGACACGAGCATGGTCCATGATATTAGCTACTGTCATCTCTTGATTACATACAGCAGATAGGATGTTATTCATGCACACGCAAAGCAGCCAGGCCTGGCGTGCTTAGCTATGTATGTGTGTTGCTGTACTCATCTCGACATGAGCATGTAACCTATGCTCTAAGGAGTCATTCACTCCTGCCAAAAAGAAAAAAGAAAACTGTGATTCAGGAGCTGGAGAGGTGGCTCAGTGGTTAAAAGCACGTTCCAGAGGGCCTAAGTTCAAGTCCCAGTAACCACCGTAGGCAGCTCATGATTTCCTGTAACTCCAGCTCCTGGGGGATCTAGCACCTCTAGCTTCTGAGGGTGCCTGCACTCACATGCACATACCCCACACATACACATCTAATTTAACATAACATAAAATAAAAAACTTTTTAAAAAACAGTGATCTGGGGCTGGAGAGATGGCTCAGTGGTTAAGAACACAGACTATTCTTGCAGAAGACCCAGGTTCGAATCCCAGTACCCATGTGGCAGCTAACAACTGTCCATAACTCCAGTTCCAGGGGATCTGACAGCTCCTTCTGTACTCTGCAGGCATTGCACGACACGGGTGCATTTACCTACATGCAGGCATAACACTCATACACATAAAATAAAAAATAAAAAATAAAAAACAATGATCTGGGCTGGAGAGATGACTCAGTGGTTAAGAGCACTGGCTGATCTTGCAGAGGACCTGGGTTCAATTCCCAGCACCCACCATGGTGGCTAACAACCATCCTTAACTCCAGTTCCAGGGAAATTCAACGCCCTCTTCTGACCTCCACAGGCATTGCACTTATATAAATGCAGGCAATACACTCAGACACATAAAATAAAAATAATAAAATATTTTTAAAAGACACTGATCCATGCTAGGGTAGGCTATAAAACCATAAGCAAACTCCATGTCACATACAGAACCAGGACTACCATTTCTGTAATGATTGCACCATATTGTACATTGAAATGATTCAGATGTTCTTAAATATATTGAAGTGTATTTATATTATATTTCTGAAAACTCTTTACTAACACTTAAAAATAAGCCTCAGTCTCAATCTGGATATAGAAGATTGCCAGAAAAACGTTTGTGTCTAGCCCAGGGTAGTGATGCATGCCTTTAGTCCCAGCACTCTGGAGGCAGAGGCAAGTAGATCTGAGTTCAAGGCCAGCCTGGTCTACATAGTGAGTTCCAGGCCAGCTGGGGCTACAGGGAGACCCTGTCTCAAAAAGACCAAAAAAAAAAAAAATGTTGTGTCTGAAAAGATATACACATGTATACATACACATAGACATACGTATATTTCATTGGTAAATTGTACCTGTTGGCTGGGCATTGTAGCATATACCTTTAATTCCAGTTCTTGGGAGGCAGAAGGATCTGTAGTTCAAAGCCAATTTGAGCTACATAGTAAGTTCAAGGTCAACTTGGGCTATATAAAGACAGTATCCTCAAAACAACAAAAGGATTGCTTTTGTCACTGGCCATTGGGGACCTGGGGCCTTGGTCCTGTGAAAAAGATTCCAGCAGTAGAGAAATACTGAGGCCAGATCAAAGGGAGTTTGTATCAAAAACACTGCTGGAGCAAAGGGAGTCTAAGGCTGCCGGACCCTGCCTAACTCCGTAGTCTGTGATACCGCACACGTACTTAAACAGGGCCTGACCGCAGAGTCTAAATGTAAAGCAATAGCCTGGAACACTGAAAAAGAAATCCCCACTTCTCTTGCTAGGGGGATGGGGTGAGGGTGAAGTGGGTGGGATCCCTAGTTTTTAGAACTGTCATCCTGGAGTAGAGAGGATGGATTAAGCAGTGCACAGTGCCAGGAGAATTTTATGCACAGAAGGCTCTCGGCAACGGTGCCCATACCTCCCCTCTGATGTGTCCAAGAGGAAGAGTCCCAAGGACTATGGTAGGACACATGCAGGCACCAAGAGAGCTGGGCAAGTTTTTTTCAGGGGCGGGGGTTCTTTTTTGTCTACCCTCCCTGTAGCCACAGCTGGCCCGGAACTTGCTATGTAGACCAAGGTGTCCTCTATTCTCACAGAGATCCCGCCTGCTTCTGCTTCTTAATACACCCAGCAATCGGGAAGTTCTTATTCCAAGCTAGTCCTTTACACAAAACTGGCTCTTTTGCTCCTTCCAGAGACCTGTCTACGAGGTTGGGGGCTGCTCAGGGACTCTGGGAAAGGCGCAGCTGAGGACAAACAGTGCAGCCGACGGCCTCGGGGAGACCGGCCCAGGTGGACTTCCCAGAACGCAGGGAGCAGGGACGACCTGTCACCTCGGGCAAATCGGAATCCGGCCGCAGAGCCAAAAACGCGGCGGGGACAACGTGTACTACATTGCACACAGCCCGCTGGGCCCGCGCAAGCAGAGCCAAACGCCGCGGCGGAGCTTTGCGCACAGTCCACCTGCAGCGAGTTCTGCGCCCGGCCCGCAGAGGTCGCGGGCAGGGTGAGCGTGTGCAGTCGCCCAGCTGAGCGCAAACCCTTTGCGCCCGGACCGGTTCTCTGGACTATAAAGGTAACCGTGCGCCGCTGGACGCCACCGCGCCTTCCAGCAGCCCGACTGCCGCTTTGTTCTTCGCTCTGCAGCTCCAGCCTCACCAGACCTCACCATGGACCCCAACTGCTCCTGCTCCACTGGTAAGACACCCCGGGTTTTTGGTCTGTAGAATGCCGACTTTGGACCAGAAAGCGGAGGCCCCCTAGGTGTAGAGGACCTAGCGTGGAGTCTTGGCGGGAGTGAACACACTTAGTTGGTAATTCCAGTCTCCGCCCCGCCCCCCCCCCCCCCGCAAGCAGCTTCTTCGGCCCTAAAGTTCCCTTTTCCGAGCTGGGGGGGAGGGGGGGGGGGGTCGCCGGGGGGGGGCCTGGTGGGGGAGGGGGGGGGGGGACGCCTAGGTTGAGCCCCAAGATGCTGTTCAGCTTTTGAATTTGCCTGAACTGAAAGGAAGGCAGGAAACGTTGGATCTTCCGGGTCAAAGACAAGTTCTATCCTACGCTGTAACCAAAGAAGTGGGGTTAGACTCCATTGAGTCCTGGGTAGGTCGTGGTGCACCGAGGTGGGTGCCTGTGTGGAGCATTTTTTCACTGCTGTGTCCTCCCCACAGGCAGCTCCTGCACCTGCACCAGCTCCTGCAGCTGCAAAGACTGCAAGTGCACCTCCTGCAAGAAGAGTGAGTGGGGCCTGGCCCGGATATCTGGGGTTGAGGCTCAGGTTGGGAGGAAACCCAGATCTGGCTTTGAGAGCTGTCCTTTGCTTCCGGAGTCCATTCTATTCTACCCCTTCTCCCGGCCTTCTGCACTTCCCAGATATCCTAGGGCCAGGGTAACCTTTCTCTATTGGGATATAAACCCCAAAGGTACCCTATACTGTCTCAGGGTTCAAAAACAAATGCTACGGTGGGGCAGAGATCGGGTCTCTAGCCAGGCCTGCTGTTGTGAGAGCAAATACTAATAAGCCTGCTCTGACCTCTCCCTCTCCCTTCCCAGGCTGCTGCTCCTGCTGCCCCACCGGCTGCTCCAAGTGTGCCCAGGGCTGTGTCTGCAAGGGGGCATCTGACAAGTGCACCTGCTGTGCCTGATGTGGGAACAGTGCTACTTCCACGTGTAAATAATGACCTGTGTCAGCCCAGATTTATTTTTCATACAGCTCTAACCCGTTTACATTCCCCTTTTCTACAAAGTATGTGAATAATAAAAGTCAATGATTTGATTCTGACTCTGGTTTTCCTTGTGTGACTTAGAAATAAGGGAGGGGGGGTTGTGGGGTGGGGAGTGGAGAGATGGCTCAGCACTTAAGAGCACTGGCTGCTCTTACAGAGGACCTGGGTTCGATTCCCAGCACCTGCATGGTGCTTACATATGTGCAAGCAATACACTCATACACATAAAAGGAAAATAATAAAATTAAAAAAACAGGACTAGAACTGCTGGGACATAGCACTTCAAGCATACTAGGCAACAACTCTACCACCTAGCTAAATTTCAGCCCTCTCTTTACTTTTGGGGTGTATGTTTTTTAGGGGGGGCATTTTTTGTTGGCTCTTCAAGATAGGGTCTCACTATGTTTGCCCAACCTGGCCTAGAACTTGCTCTGCAGCCCATTCTAGCCTTGAATGTGTGAGTCTGCCTCCGCTTCCCAAGTAGTTGGGATTACAAGAGTGGGCCACCAGGCTCTGATTAAGATTTTATGTTTAAAGGTGACTACAGGGCTGGATGTGGTGGCTCATGGCCATAATCCCAGCTCTTGAGAGGCAGAGGCAGGAGAGGAGAGCCAAGAATCCAAGATCTGTCTACCATAGCAAGTTTAAGATCAGCCTAGACTACATGGGACCCTGTCTCAAAATGAAAGTGAGCAGAAAGTGGGTCACCAACTGGGCAGATGTTCAACCCTCAAAAGATTATCAGTTGCTTTTCTTTTTAGGTTGGTGTGTCTGTGCACATGCGTGTTTGACGGTACATTTGGAGGATAGAGATTGATGTTGGGAATCTTCCTCTATCACCACCTTATTTTTTTGAGACAAGGTCTTTCACTGATCTTCAAGCTTGCTTTATTTTCTGCAGGACTGGCCGGTCAGTGAGTCCTAGGAACCCACTTTTCCACCCTCCCTCACCCCTGTGCTAATGTTACAGGCTTCTGCTACCACTCCTGGCTTTTTATGTGGGCTCTGCAGAACTCAGAGCCATGCTTGGGAAGCAAGCACTTTACTCACTGAGCCATCTTCCCTGCCCCTTCCAGTTTTTATTTTCTAGGTACCCTGTGGCCTAAGGTTTGGTAAATGATAGCACTTGTACCCCCGCCCCCAAAAAAAACAAAAAAAAAAGAAAGAAAAACCCTCAAAGAGCATAAAACCCACCTTAAAAAAATTCACCAGGAAAACAAATGATAGGAAGAAATAGGGAAAACAAAGATTTCCCCATTCTGCACAATTGCTGCCAATGTGCGCTGCACAGAGGGGGTGGACTGTCCCGTGTGCAGCTCCTCCAGGAGCCATCATAGAAGAGGACACCTGACAACACCAGGTCCCCAGGAGTTCTCAGTTGCTGTGAGAACTCTTAGCTGTAGCTTTGGAAATTCCTTGCAAACTCAGGATGAATTTGCTCTTTCTGATTCCAACCATGTGATCTGGGACTTGGAGGAGGTTGCCCATGTATGTGATCTAGGACTGCAGATCAAGCGCGGTGTGTCACAACTGCCCTGCGGGACTGGGTAGGGCTAACTGGCTGTAGCCTGGGAGAGTTTTATTAAGGCCAAGGGCCCCCCGCCTGTGTCTGTTGGATGGACAATAGAAGACCGGCGGACAGCCCGTGTCTGTGCTTACTGTGTACTCCGGAAATGGGACCAAAGACGGAGGTGGGGACAGAAACAGGCAAAGGTGACACCGGCACTCTTCCCTCTTACCTGATCTTAGAGATGCTGTAACAAGATTTTGGTCAAGACTAAAGTGACATTCACGGGCTGGGGCTGAGAGACAGCCATGACTCGGTTTCCGGAACTCGGGGGTGGGGGTGGGAGTGACCAACAAACTTGCCAGAACTAGTAAGGAGCAGCTGAGTGGTGGGGGCACTGCTTGAGGTGAGTGCACAATCCCGCTTTCCAAACTAGCCCGGACAGAAGGGGCAACCAGGCGACGGGCGCAGAAAGGGTGGAGCTGAAGCGCGTGCAGAAGGGGCGACCTGGCGACGGGCGCAGAAAGGGTGGAGCTGAACCGCGTGCAGAAGGGGCGAC